CTCACTTTCCAGACAACCTAAATTAATTACTCCTTGATTTATGTCTGGTCTCTGATCCTAACTTGTGTTCAGTTTCTCCTTTTTCTTCCTAAGATGGCGATGATCTCAATAAATCTGTTATCTCATACTTTTTATTTGGATTAAAAAAACAAAGAGAGCTTGGCTCTAATTTTTTTTAAAAAAAGAAAAGGTTAGATGACTTTAACTAAAATTTTATTTTAATTTATGAAATTTACTTTAAAAAATTTTAAACTAAAAAAAGCTAATAAAAAGTCTCTCTTATTGCACTACTTTTAATGCTACTATAAAGCTGACTGGAATTCTTTACGTGATTTTTTTTTGTGACGCTTAGCGGCTAGCAACATTTTATTTCTCCATTGGTAAATGCGCCTTCTACTTAACCTCCTGAAATAAGGCTGGTATGGAAGCTTTTATTCCTTCTTGTTGGTTCGAAGTCAAACCTCATTCTATTATTTAGTTTCACCTTCTTATGCAGCTGCTATATCTAATATAAGAGGTAGCAAAAATGACAGGTATGTTAAAAAAAAATAATTAACTCTGAAAAAGACAACTGAAAGGAAATTATGTTAGCACATTAATGATTTGAAACCAATAAAGTATCATTACTTAATTGAAGAAATGATTGCCTTAGACAACAAATCATTATTACTTGTTGAATACCTTGTATTATTTTCGATATATTTAATAGATTTTGCATTAAAATTGAAGCTAGTATTTCACAATTAACAGCAGTACCCGTGACATCTGACATGTGGACGTGTGTTGTACAACAACCAAAGTTTTACTGCGCATTGGATATCTCCATATTTTATTTTTAATAATTGTTTTTTAGCGATTAAACCGTCTGGTTACAATATCGCAAAAGAACTCAACACTATTGCATAAAGATGGAGCATTTCACATAGCAAGATCCATATTCTTGTTTATGACAGTAGAGTTTAAATTAAAACAATTAAAAATTAAAACTAACCAATTAAAACAAGAAGTAAAGTACAGTAGAGCCAATATGATAAATAGAGAACGCGATGAAAAAATGATGCAAAGTGCTTTATTTATTTTTTACAACTAGCTGTCAATGTATTGCAAAATTCTCAAATAGAAATGACACAGATAGTAGCTGCTGCAAGACATACCGTAACCTATTTTAACCACACTGTATAGCACAAGAAAAAATAAAAAGTTTGTCAAGAACTTAATTTACGAAACCTCCAATTAAAACAAGAAGTAAAGTACACTCTGGAGTTCAACATACTATTTATTGGAGCAATTATTAGAGCAAAAGAGAGCTATCTCGTTGTACATAACTGATCATTTGACTAATAGGAAGCAATATATGGTATAAGATGAAGGAAAAACTAATTATGAGACAATTAAATATATAGTATATGATGAAGGAAAAACTAATTATGAGACAATTAAATATATAGTATATGATGAAGGAAAAACTAATTATGAGACAATTAAAGTAAACAAAGAACTAGACAAACTAACCCAATGGTTTAAATCAAAAAAGTTATATTTAAATATTAAAAAAACAAAATACACTTTATTCCATCGTCTGCATAAAAAATCAGATATTCCCCTAGAACTTCCGAGCATTTTTATTGATAATCAGTTAATAAAGAGAGAGCAATCAATAAAGTTTTTTGCCGTGTTTCTAGACGAAAATGAAACCTGGAGGAAACATATAGGTGTAGTTGAAGATAAAATATCGAAAAAGTTAGGCATAATGTACGAAACTAAGCTGTTATTAAATCAATCTTGTTTAAAAAACATTTACTTTTCTTTTACTCATTGCTACTTAAGTTATGCAACATTGCTTGGTGTAGCACTAACACAACGAAAATAAAAAAAATTGCTTAGCAAACAAAAACAGACTATAAGAATAGTTTCAAACGTAGATCGTTTCTCACACACACAAGCATTATTTAATGAACTCAATATCCTAAATGTATATAAGCTTTTCATTTTCAAACTTGATAAAGATATATTACCTATCTTTTTTTATTCAATTTTTGAAAAAATAAATCAAAAAATAAAAAATAAACCACATATACCCTACTAGATTTTTAAAATACAACTACATTTAATCCAAAACTTATTATTCCGCTACTAAATTCTCTATTGTAGACCGAGGACCAAAGACCGAGGACCGAAGACCGAGGACCGTTGTGGAACACAATATTAAAAATAAGAGCTGAAAACTAATTATTCTTTAACAAAACTTAAGCAATTAATTTTGTTAGCTGAAAATGAATTAAGTTTTTTCTAATAAAGCTTCTTTAAATTAGAAATCAATAATTAACAGTTAATTAATTAATTATTTTAGATTATTAATACATAATTAATCAACATATGTACGTATATTTTTATTATTTTAAATGATAATCTTCTTTTTGAGAAATTTATTTTTATTTTTGCGTTATATATTAATCTTTTTTTATTTTTTACTGTTTATTTGCTTTGACTTAATTGGCAATTAAAAATATTATAAATATAATTAAATAAGTTAAACTATAAATTGCTCTAACAATAAAATGCTTTTTATATAAAATCATATCTTTTTATTTTTCAAACTAATTCTCAAATGTTATTTTTGTCATTTAAACATTTTATTAAATTTTGTTTCTTTTATTTTACAAAATAATTCTTAAATTTTATTCTTTGCAAAACAATAAATTTTAAACGATATGCGATATATTTACATTTTCTTTTATAATATAAATCAGAGATATATACATTTAAACTATATTTTATGGTTAAACTATATTTTGTCTAGTAATGACGCATTTTTTGGGGCTTAATGATAAGACTCCGGTCAAGTAATTATTTTTTATAAGTTACGACTTTAAATTTTTTTTATCGGCAAAAGTATAAACAAATATAATTATGATTCTTAAATCTTAATAAAATATATTCATGATTCTTTAAACAACTAAACACCTGTTTAATGGGAGTTAATGGAACATTATATTTAACTTATCAAACCTTTCAAAAATACAAAAAGAAATTACAAAAATAACCAGCTCGGGTATTTCTTTCATTTCTATTTCTATTCCACATGTTGTCAAGTTGTTAAAATACATGGGAAATAAAAAGAAAGCACAGAATACCGAATTTATCATCAACGAGATTGTTTCAATCTGAACATGAAGCGTGGTTCAGTTTTAATAAAAATGAAAAATACCCAGTTGAAACTTTTATTGATCAGTACTTCAAAACTAATTTCTTGGGTATAGTAAAAACACAAAGAGCAAAACAAAAATTATTTTAGAAGCTCCGAAGAAATGTTTTGAAGGGTCTAGTAGCACCAATAATCAAATTTAAAATCATCTCAAATTTAAAAGAAAAAAATGTCAATGTAAAAAATGAAACAATTGAGATACACAATAGTTTCTGGGATTGGTTTGAGGAAGTTGTTTCAGAAAGCACGCACACAGATGAAGAAATTGATTTAATCATAAAAACTGTTCGTCTAGATTGGAAAATAGACCCTTACATGTGCTGGTCAGCAATATCTAAGCCTTGCAGAATTTATTGAGATTTATTTATTCTCTCCAAGTAGTAGTGTGTATAGTGAGCAGCTATTTTCGGAAGCAGGCATAATTTACGAGGAAAAGCGCAATTGTTTGCTATCAACAAATGCTCAAAAAGTTTTATTCATCATAATTTATCACTGATAAAATTAAGTATTTAACTTGTTTTAAATAAAAAAATTTGGTGATTAAAAGAATCTTATATATATAATTTATTTATTCTTTGATTATTCCGTTTAATATATTATTTATAGTAATATAATTTATTTCTAATCGGTGTTTCAGTATTCGGCCGAATAGTTTGCAATATTCGGCCGAATACCAAATAGTATTTATACTGTTTGTTATTTGGCCATAAGTATTTATACTATTTGGTATTCAGTATTTGGCAACATTTTAATGTTGCCAAATACAAAATGGTTGCCGAATATTCGTGGCATCTCCACTTTTTTAAATTAAAAAGTTATTTCTTTAGAGTCATCAATTACGGTTTTTATGAATGTAATTATTTAGTACAGTATTATTGACTGTTTGTGATATTTAAAACAATTCAGGTCCGATTTTTAAAGTTCATTTACAAAAACTTGATAAACTTTATAAATTCTTTTTTTGTACAAAATTTTGTTTAAAGATTATATATGCTTAACTTGTTTCTCTGCGCAGCAACGTCAAGGTTTTTCGTCAAGGTTCACGTTTCGGATTTATAGAGTTGAGAGAGGGTTTTAACCACAACTAAAGCAAACAATCCAGCTTCCTTGACTGTAATGCCCTTCATGGCTATGGGGAGGTGAATTAAATTAAAAAAATTAAAATTAAAAAATTTATTGTGATAATACAGTTTGTATTTTTCTGCTTAGTTAAAAATATACTTTTAAGATTTCAACATTTTTTTAATAAAAACTATAGATAAGAAACTAAAAGTGAATGATATATAATAAAACTCCATTTTTTCGGTCAACTAGAATCTAAAATTAGTTAATTAATTATACATTTATATCTACATTGTTTGTTTTTGATAAATGATTAGCATCTTTTCAAAACTAGCTTAGTTTTTTAGATATTTAGGAATCCAGAACCAAAACCAAAACAAAACCGGATTGTAAAAGAAGTTTAGAAATATGTAGATCACTAGAGTGAATAAGATGGAGTCACTCAGTTAAAAATCGGGAGACAGAGCAGGAGTCTGAGTTACCCCCTCTTTCTTTTCTTCTGGCTCACAGAATAAAACAAGGAAAAATCTATTTTAAAATTATTTTAGTATTCATCTCCAAAAAGTATAATATATTAATAATAAATTTTATTATGTTGCAAGTTTTGAGAATATTAAAACTATTATTAAACAGGTACTTAAACAATCAAATAAATTTGGTCTACAAATATAAAAATATCATAGTTAATTTTTTTTCTATTCAGAAATTATTTGAAAAAAAAAATGTAGCATAATTATTTGTAAAAAGTTTTATTATATAACAAAAAGTATTTAATGACAAAGTTCGAAATTAGTCAAGCTTTCAGGTTTTAATAAAAGCACAACATTTCCGATTCGAGACCACAACGCTGAAGCTTTGTTTTTATCAGGACCCCAGATCTCATCAACAAAATACTTCATGACTTTCTCCTCTTCCTTTATTCTGTTATAATTTGTATTGTTTTCAGGAAAAGAAAATGGCATCTCAGCTGTCATAATTATAGTAGATTGTGGAAAACTTATTACTGCACTATCAACGTGTTCATCAGCATAGTTCATGAATATGCTTGCTGTATCATATGTCATCTGTTCAATATTTGTCACAACGACATACTTCTGAAGAGATTTTAAACTTTCCTGAATCTGATTATCTAAACTTACTTTGTTGGCTCCTTCAGAAAATAAAGTATCATAGCTTTTATATGTAAAAGCCAATCCTAATTCTTTTAAAAAGCATTTCATTGTAAAATTTGTTCCATTATAACTAGCTATTAACATTGTAAATGGTTGTAGATTGCTTGTATCATTTTTAAACACCCTTTCTAGGTGTTTGTATCCAAGCTTATTTATCTTTTGCCAAAACATTTTCTCTTGATTTGAAAATATTTTAGTCATGTTATCTATCTTAAGCTGAAACACTTCAGGAGTTACATAATAATGATCTAATGGAAAAGTCTTTTGATTTGGAGGATCACTCGTGAGAATAGCTAACATAATGCATCCAAGAACAACGATTGCGCATAATAAAATTCTATTCTAAAAAAAAAGAAAAAAAAATTAAAAATAAAAAACTTTTTATTGCAACAATTCTATAAATATTTTATAAAAATATTATAATAATAAAATAAATAATAAATAAATAATAAATAAATAAAAGAAAATAAAAGCAAAAATGAATAAAAAGGCAAATACTAAAATAGAAGTAAAAAAAAAAAAATTAAAGCAGATATACATAACTATGTAAATACTACACAGTGAACCAGAGTGACTGCCAGGGTAAGTTGTTCCTCAGGTCTGATTTTTTTTCGATATATATTAGTAAACACCATTTGTGGTATTAAGAATTTCTGGGGGGCTGGACAAAGTTAAAAAATTGTTGTTTAAAAATTAAGTTTTTTAAATCATAAAAATGTTTATAAATTTCGGACAAAAACCACTGAAAATCCTCAAAATTGATAAATTGTGCAAAAAATTGTGGGCTGTTTATATAAAATGTATGCTGTTTGTCTTACACAGTTTGGTAAAGTCATTTAAAACTCAAAAGATTACTCCAGCAATTAAAACATTGATTGTCTGGAACCAGTAAATTTAGGGGTAACCACTATCGTAAGATTTATATTATAATAAGACCAATATTATTGGTCTTATTGTCCAATAATATCAGGCCTTGTTTTAAAGCGTTACGCCTAGAGCGATTTACGTACGCCTTAAGCGCTTTTTACGTACGCGTAGAGCTGTTTTGGTTAAGCTACTTTTTATCATTTTTTAACTTTTAAATTAACGGTAACATAAAAGAAGTAATTAATTTTCAAAAAAACCACATTAACTTTTAAATAACGATATGTAAAGGTATTTATTAAAAAAAAGAATTTACTTTAAAATTAATTGTTGTAACTTTTCATCGCGATATATCTTTCCTTCTTATAGCAATTAATTTGACGCTAAACTTTTTATCCAAATATTTAGCAACATGAAAAATTGTTTGTCAATCCTTAACTACAAATTTTTTGGAACGTTTTTAATAAAAAGTAGTAAAGTTTTTAGTAAAAAACTTTTAAAAAATCTATATTCTATATTTATTAATACAGAATATAAAAGTTTTTTGTAATATAGATTTTTTATGAATTTTTTACTGAATAAAATATAATAAAAAACATTTGCAAAAAAATTTGTAATTAAGAATTGACATTTTTTTAAATAAAATCTCAAAAAATGTCTTAATATTTTTGTTATCATGATAACAAAAATATCAAGACATTTTTTCGAGATGTTAAAAAAAATGTCTTTGCTTTTCTTATTAGTTTAATAGTATATAGCTTATAGTTAGTTTAATAGTATATAGCTTTTCTTATTAGTTTATTAGTATATAGTTTAAGTTATGCGGGGGGAGGGGGTCGGCACAGAAAAAAAAATTACCTGTTACTCGCAATATTTGAATGAAGACAATTTGTTAAAATTCTTCTGCATGCGATTCAATAAGTTTTTTTTGTCATAAATCAAGTTATAATATAAGGTAAAGAAATCATGAGTAGACTACAACATCCGCTGATGACACTAATATTACGTTGAATATATTTATATAACGGAGGTTTTATTATGCACGCCCACATTACAGGTTCCGTTAAATAAATACTAAGGCACGTTTTAGTTTAATGACAGTCTCCATTTTTTACTAATGAATATGTATTTTTCTTTATAAAACAAAACAAACTAGTATATAAAAACCTTGTATATTTCTATTATCTCTAAATTATTTAAAGTTCGAATATGGATTGTATTTTGAAGTACAAAAGATTTACTTTAAAAACTTTTAAATCTTGGGACTTTGCCGTTGCGATGATCACAGAAAAAGAGAAGACTTACGTTATTAAAATCAAATGTAAGTTATGTGATCTTCATCAAAATAAAATATTATCCAAAAACAATAGTGCCGTAAAGGCAACTGCCCAACGGTTTATAAATAATACAAGTCATGTTAAAATATTTTAACATGTTACTATATTTTAATTAAGTTGATATATAATTAAAAATAAAAATATAGTTCAATAAATAAATTAAATTTATTCTTAACAAAGATTACCTCATATTTATTCTTTTTTTTATTTTATTAAGTTAAATTGCTTACAAACGAAAAAAAAAAGAGTTTTGTAATTATACGTAGAATGAAAATACTTTTGAGTTTGTTTATAAGTTAAGGAACCTTATTTTTAATAAACAAATTTTTACGAACGTTTATTATAAACAGATACGATTCAAATTATTAAATATACTTAAATTATTTCAGTTGAGTATTTTTATAAGTTTGCACGATTAAAGTTTGGCGTACAAGTATTTGTTTTTTTGTTTTAAGAATAATTAATAAAAGAGTTTGCATAATTAAGACTTTTATATTTAATTTAATTTTTTTTTTAATTTCCTAAAATTAAAAAAAAAAAAAAGGTTTAATCGTTGAAAACGATTTTTCTCTATAGCTCTGTTTCTTTGTGATTTGTTTAAAAAGTTAAATATTTTTACAATAACATAAAAAGTTTATGAATTAAATTCCTATCGAACGCGTTCTAAACTACGTATCAAAAATACGCTTCAAAGCAGACAAAACTTTTTTATATTTTTATAAAACGCAAGTTGAAACGCTTTTAAAAATTTAAAAAATATTTAAAAACTTAAATTTTTCTTTGCTAGTCAAAACAAAATCGTTGTTTAAATAATTAACATGGGTTTGTGTTTATCAATGTTAATATTTTTTGTTTACTCTAGAAATTTTTAAAAATAAAAAAAATCATTATTATTTTTTATTCAATAACGATTAAAAACAATTATTCAAAAACAAATTTCAGAAATAATTAATATATATATATATTTTTTTTTACTAAATAATATTGAACTAAAATTAATAATAAAATAACAATTGAAAACATTACAAAATTTTCATAATAAATTTATATTTAAAACGTTTATAGTTATATTTGAGTTAATTGTTAAATTGAATTAGTTTGCGGTTATTTATTTATTGCGGTAGTTAAACACTTAACGCCTATAAAAAAAAATAAAGATAATTTTATGACGTCAAAATCGCGTTAAGCTAATGCATTAAGCACTTTTTTATTTAAAACAAGGCCTGTAATATGGACAATAAGACCAATAATATTGGTCTTATTGTCCATATTATTGTCCCTCCAGTTTATTATTGTCCCTCCAGTTTCCAAGATACTCCATCTTTCATCATCACAAGGTACATCATCTACATCATTTCAGACTAATACTATTGGTCTGAAATTATTGGCAATAAGACTAAGATGGAGTACTGAGGGAACTGGTGGGAGATGATATCCACAATAAAATTCTATGTTTTGTCTAATCTGTTTTGTAGTTTTTTTATTTTTTATTATTACTTTTTAATAAATACTGCTGTTTTATTGACATACATAGATTTTTTTTTAACTAAAAATATGGAATTAAGAAAACTTTTATAATAACATGTATGTGTTATTAAAAAAAACTTACAGTTTTCTCAATGCATGCATAAATTTAATGTATATTCAAATACATTTGTATATATATGCAAATGTTTATTGATATACATATACTTATAGTATAAGTATGATATAAATTGAAACACGTATTGTATATGTATGAACATGTATTGTAAAAGTTATAGATTGCACAAATATACATATACAATATACCTAAGTTTTTTAATGTATGTAAATATACTGTACATTTAAATGTGATTTCATAGGATAAATAGACTATGTAATCTCATCACATAACATAGATTGAGACATTTAAGTATATTGTATATGTATGTACATGTAGTTATACATTACATGATATATATATATATATATATATATATATATATATATATATATACATATATATATTTATATAAATATATATAAATATATATATATATATATATATATATATATATATATATATATATATATATTTATATATATATATTTATATAAATATATATATATATGTATATATATATATATATATATATATATATATATATATATATATATATATATATATATATATATATATATATATATATATGTATATATATATATATATATATATATATATATATATTTATATAAATCTATCTATCTATCTATCTATCTATCTATATATATATATATATATATATATATATATATATATATATATATATATATATATATATATATATATATATATATATATATATATATATATATATATATATATATATATATTAGTGTTGCGAAGGTAAAATTTTCCGGTAAATTTACCGGAAAATTTTGAAAATTTACCGCCTGGTAAATTTTAAAAATTTTTTTCACTTATTTTTTTTTCTCTAATTTACCGTTCTCTAATTAAAATTTACCGGTAAATTTTGAATCAAATTTTACTGGAAAATTTACATCACTAATATATATATATATATATATATATATATATATATATATATATATATATATATATATATATATATATATATATATATATATATATATATATTAGTGTTGCGAAGGTAAAATTTTCCGGTAAATTTACCGGAAAATTTTGAAAATTTACCGCCTGGTAAATTTTTAAAATTTTTTTCACTTATTTTTTTTTCTCTAATTTACCGTTCTCTAATTAAAATTTACCGGTAAATTTTGAATCAAATTTTACTGGAAAATTTACATCACTAATATATATATATATATATATATATATATATATATATATATATATATATATATATATATATATATATATATATAAATATATATATATATATATATATATATATATATATATATATATATATATATATATATATATATATATATATATATATATAAATATATATATATATATATATATATATATATATATATATATATATATATATATATATATATATATATATATAGTGGTGAAAAAAATAATAAATACACTAACATCTAAAATTTTATAAAAACCTGTTTTATTCACAGTAATTGATGTTATCTCATACTAATTTTTATTTTTTTTAAACCTTATTGTTAGAAATAATTTTTTTTTTTTTAATTATGAATTTTTTTTCAATTTTTCTTATGTTACTAACAATTTTGTATAAAGTAGCTGGAAATTTACTGGAAAAAATAATAAATACAGTAATGATTAATCTTTTTGTTTTTTTTTTATTTTCAACTGTTATTACTTTTCAAACATGTGTTTGACTCTGCTTATTACTAATACCTCGTAGGAAAAGAATTTAGAGGGGGTAATAGCCTCTTCCCCCATATTTATTTAGGAGGAGGGTCACTTCCCTTACCCTTACCCTTCAAATCTCCAACCCTTTTAGTCACTTTCCCTCAAACTGACATGACCTTCCTACGCTACTGAATAGTATTTTACTTTATATATTGAAACACAAACTATGTTCAATAATTTTTTTATGTTAATAATTCAATTTTTTATGTATGTTCAGTTATTTATTTACAGTTTACTAATGTATTGAATTAATATCATTTCAGTTAATTAATTACAATTAAGTAAAAAACATTGCTGAAGTTAAGAGATATTGCCTCTTACTTTTAATCTGTAAGTATTTTCAATATTTAAAAATATGATATGGTGATATTAGTATGTATATTAGTAAATTAATTCATACAACAGTTTTAACTTAGGATATTATGGGTAGAAAGTCACATTGCACCTCAGCTGAGCTCTTAGTAATTCAACGGCTTAAAATCAGTGGAAAGTCTTATAGAGAGATTTCAAGAATAACTAAGCGTTCTGTTGGAATGGTTCAAAATGCTCTGAAACCAAAAATATGTGTTGAAACTAGAGGTCGCAAAAGAAAAACAAATTACAGAGAAAGATAAATCAATTATTCGTGAAGCTAAAAAAGATCCATTTATCTCCAGCAATACCATTAAAAAAAACTTAGAATTAAATGTAACAGCACGAACAATTAGAGGACGTTTAGTTGAAGCTAACTTGTTTTCAAGATCACCTAGAAGTGTGCCTTTATTGAAAAAACGACATATAAAAGCAAGAAAAGAGTTTTGTCATAAATATTCTGAATGGACAAATAAGAAATGGGGCACAGTTTTGTGGACAGATGAATCTAAATTTAATATCTTTGGATCAGATGGTAAGCCGTTTGTCTGCAGACTACCAAATAAAGAGTTTGACCCACATTACACTAAAAAAACAGTTAAATTTGGTGGTGGAAGCATTATGGTGTGGGGTTGTTTCTCGTCATCTGGTATTGGTGCTATCCACTTAATAACAGACAGCTGATATTTATACTAATATACTTGAAGAAATTATGCTTCCTTATGCTGAGGATAACATGCCGCTCTGGATATTTCAACAAGATAACGATCTAAAACATACAGCCTCTATCACAAAGAGATGGTTCCAAAATAATGTTATAAGACAACTGGACTGGCCAGCACAATCGCCAGATTCAAATCCCATAAAAAATTTATGGAAAATTGTAAAGGATGAGGTAGCAAAACAAAAGCCTTGGAACAAAATGGATCTGTGGGAGGCTGTGAAAACATCATGGTACGCTATTCCACTACCAACATGTCATAAATTGGTCAACAGCATGCCCAAAAGACTAATCAAAGTTAAAAAAAAAAAAAGGACATGCAACAAAATATTAGGCAATTTTTATAAATATTGTATGAAGTGATTAATAAACCTTTGTCAGAAAAAAAGAAGTTTATTTTTGTTTATAATTGTTTTTAATTATTTTTGTTAAATATTTGTTTTATAAACATTGAATTTTCTTGATTTTTTCAAATATACTGATATCTTTTTTTTCAAATATACTTTTTTTTTTTCAAATATAAAATTTGATGTCTTGATTTTTTCAAATATACTGATGATTTTTTCAAATGTACTGATGATATATGATGATGATTTTTTCAAATATACTCCTGCTACTGATGTCAGGTCAGGTTTATCCTGCTACTGGTAACATGTAACCCAGTACAATCTGCTTCATGTCCTGCTGCTTTGTAGGATACGCCTTTTTAGGCAAAGGCTAGGAGATCCAAACTCCGACATAAAACACCCCCTGCCTTGGGGCTCTTGCTTGAGTAAAGGCTAGGGATGGTGTCTCGATAAAAATACACATCTTGGGCAGATGTTACATGCATCCAGCTGCTGTCTTGTAGAAAGCCTCCTAGGCAAAGACTTAAGGGGTAAACAGATTCTATCTGTTGACCAGCCTCGCACCCCTTCCTCATCAATTAGGCTGGCGCAGATGTATTTTTAATACATTGTTTCCAGTTTAGGATGTTGAACGCTGGATCTTCTTGACTCGATTCATGGGTTTTGCTTGTGTCTCTGTTTTTATGACTAGGCAACTCATTCTATTATCACCAAATGAGGGTACAGCTCTAAAACTCAGTTTTATGGTTCTGAGGCCGGCTGGTAGTCAGGTTTCCCGAACTCTGTGGTAGCTCTCAGAGAGGCTGATTCCATCAACAGCTGAAAAATATCAGAGTACTAACAGTGCCATGTTGCGAATGGATGGCGTCCCTGTTTGTACTTTTGGTGTGCATTGCCAAGGCCACATTAGAGTCCTTTGTTACGGCTTAGGGCTTATTAGTGGAAATGAGGCAATTGCTTAGACTATTTAATATTGTACTGAGTACTATCTGTGCTTTGAATCAAGTTCATTAACAAATTCAAAAATGACTAAAGTATCAAAAACTATAAAACACAATAAAATCATCATCATCACCAAAGTTCTCTAAACCTATGATTCACTAATATTCATGTTCTTCGAAATAACTTTTTTTCTGTTGAGTCTTATCTCTTGCAAAGTTTACCAGACCTACTTGCTCTTTGTGAGATTAATTTAAGTTCGACTGTCTCATGTTGCGATCTTAGTGTTGGTGGTTATCTTCCTTTAATCCGTAAAGACTCCAATAGTCACATGCTTGGCCTGGGCATTTACATTCGTAAGAATTCACCCATATGTCGGGAAACTAGGTTTGAATCTACAGACTACTCTTTTATGTGCTTTCGTTTAGCACCACTTCACTCTATCACCTTTCTCTTTGTTCTATATCACTCTCCCTCATGTCAAGACTGCACTCTTCTTGATGTTATTTCTGATCATATTGACCAAGCCCTCTCTTTATCCATCAGCCAATATTGTTGTTGTCGGTGACTTCAATGTTCATCACAATGAATGGCTTGGCTCTAGTGTCAGTGACTCTACAGGCAGTAAGGCCCACAACTTTTGCCTTTCTCAATCCCTATCTCAAATAGTCAACTTTCCAACTCGCTTTCCAGACAACCCAAATCATTTACCTTCTCTACTCGACTTATGTCTTGTTTCTGATCCTAGTCAGTGCTCAGTTTCTTCACAATTACCCTTAGGTGCGTCTGATCATGGTCAGGTCTCTCTAAAACTATTATCTCATTCTTCTTTACCATCAGAATCCCCCTATCATCGTACATCTTACAACTACCTTAAAGCTGACTGGGACTCTTTCCGTGATTTTCTTTGCGATGGCCCCTGGGTAGAAATCTTTCGTCTCCCTATTGACAAATGTGCTTCTTACATAACTTTGTGGATTCAGGCTGGCATGGAATCCTTTATTCCCTCTCGACAATTCCAGGTCAAGCCTCACTCTTCTCCATGGTTTTCCTCACATTGTGCTGCTACAATTGCCAATCGAAACCATTACTTCCATATCTATTAGCAAAACAATTCTCCAGAAAACAGACGTCTGTTTATTATTGCTAGGAAACATTGTAAAAAAGTTTTGTCTAACGCCAAAGCTCGCTATTCTCAGATCATGAAATCTCGTATTTCATCACAATAATTAGGCTCTCGTGACTTCTGGAGAATCTTTAATAGTATCAATAATAAGGGCAAGTCTGTAATTCCACCTCTTTTGTATGGTTCAGACTTTGTCACCTCACCTAAAGACAAAGCTGAATTGTTTGCCAAGAACTTTTATTCCATATCATCTCTTGATGCCACTAGTTGCGTTCTACCTGATATAGCCGTCAAACAGGTTGATCCATTGCTCGACATTCGTATCACTCCAGCTTCTGTATCTAAAGTGATTTCCCGCTTAAACTCTTCTACAGCTTGCAGCCCGGACAACATACCTGTTATAGTCTTGCAGAAGTGTTCTCCGGAGCTGTCGTCTATCCTTTTAAA